CCATTTTTCTTTCTCCCTTCCTATATGCACAGACCATTTAGTCATAGAACTGTGGAAAGCAATAGAACCCTAAATGTCTCAGACTGCTAGCCCTACCGTCTGCTTCCACCAGAGAACTGCTTTGCACTGCTGTTACAAGAGGCTGATTCCAAAATTAAAATATTAGTACTATTTCTAAGAAAAATGTCCCTGAATAATATTTGTGACTACAAACCTAGAATAAAATATTTTTTATAAACGTTTGTCTTTACTTTTCAACTTTAGGCTGTATTACCATCTCTTTTCCTGATGCACATTTCTTTGAAATCAATAGAAATGTGTCAAAATGCATGCGCTGTAATGTGCGTTAAAATGAGCATAAACGCATAGCATAAAACAAGTCAATCGACATCAATGCCCATTGATGTGCAGTGCAACGCATGGTAAATATCAAAGCAACTCACACTGACATGCTTTTTTATGCATTCTTTTTAAACAAACCAGGGGGAAACACACTAAAATATATAGGGTATGAATGAGCCCAAAAAGTAGAAATACATTTAAAGAAAACTGCAACTAGAGAATGTCTTTTGGTTGAAACAACTTTGTATGGCTCTTTTACCAAAACAAAAAACAATCTCCTTTACCTGTGTTATTTGTACAATGAATTTGGTGCATGCACAGTGCAGTATACACTGTCAGCTTATGTAAATATCAACAGTTGGAACCGGGTTCTGACTTACATCATCAGTGGCTGGAGAAGACAGATGTTAGAATAGAAGGAAGAAAAAGAAATAATGGCAATGTGCAAAATTATCAGCAGATAATTTCTACCCCGAACATCGCTTCCCTCATATGGCCCCCTTGCCCTTTTGGGCCACTGTATCACAGAACAGGCAATATGTCCAATTATCCAGTGCTTGGATTAGTGGATCTTTCAAGCAACCCTACTCAGACTGAAGAACCAGGTCCACTAGCTGGATTTATTGATTTTTTTTTTCTTCCAGCTGTACTAAAACTCCATCTCTAGATCTGTACTTTGGAATTCCTGATAAATATGTCCACAGCTTGCCAATGATATCAACGGTATGTAAAAAAATACACGAGCTTGCATTAATGAGAAGCACACTTCATCTGCAGCGCTTTTCCTTTGTACAGTTTGCGCGTGGCTCCAGACTTTGTGCTGAGTCACGCATTCCCTTAATAAAACTCTAGGCTCCAGCATCACCACTTTAGCAAGAATGGGATAATTCCCAAGGCTGGAATAAACACGAGGCTGCCAGGATAAATCACAAGCAAATCCCAGTAAAACAAAGGCTTTCCTGTACGCCCACAATGAGATGTTTAATGTTAGTTGTTCTTTGCACAAGACATGCAGTTGTGAGGTCCACATCCAAATAAAGTAGACGCCCATTATTTGGATTTTGGTGATGCTAGGGTAGGTGACATTTGTATACAAAATTAAATTACCCTAGGGCAGTGGTCGGCAAGCCACGGCTCGCGAGCCACATGCGGCTCTTTACACACTTTAATGCGGCTCTTCTGTGTGCCGGGCGCCCGCTCCCCTCCCTCCTCTCGGGCGGCCGCCCCAAAAGTCAGGACTCTGCAGCTAGCCCAGCAATGGGCAAACTACGGCCCGGCGGACCTTTTAATCCGGCCCGCGGAGTGTGGCAAACATTGGCTGTCAGGATGTAGGCGGGGCAGCGTGATGAACTCCTCTCCTCTCACAGTCCGCCCTGAAGACCGGAACGGCGCGGGAACACGGCGAGAGGAACGCGCGGAGCCAAGGTAAGTGAATTGACACAATATGGGGAAGGAATTACTATAGGGGGGATGAATTACTATATGGGGGATGAATTACTATGGGGGATGAATTACTATATGGGGGATGAATTACTATGGGGGATGAATTACTATATGGGGGATGAATTACTATGGGGGATGAATTACTATATGGGGGGATTGAATTACTATATGGGGGATGTACTATATGGGGGATTTCATGTATTTTTTAAAAATGTGGCTCTCAAAATAAATTTCAATCGTGGTTTTGGCGAGATTTGGCTCAGTTGAAAAAAAAGGTTGCCCACCACTGCCCTAGGGAACCTGTTTGCCAGTCTGTTGATTTGATATCCATAGCTTTCCACATCTATTCTGCTTTTCTTATATGTTCTAACACCATCTTCCCATCATGTACTGAACAGAACCAGGGACTGTCTGTAGAATGGGTGTCTCAAGATATCTGAAGATGAGGTATCTTGGGGCCAGAATTGACTCTGGAATTCCATTAAACATGTGTGGTTCGTTTTGTTTCAAATCGAAATTCAGATAAAATTTTTGTTGTTTGGAGAATCAGATGTATCCAAATTTCTGAATTATAATAGTAATGAATGTAAACGAATCTGAAATAAATTATCCGAATTTGAATCGAATTCGAAACAAATTCCAAAATGAAAGTGAATTTGAAAACAAATTTGAAATGTAAAGATATTGCTGATTTCCTTAAAAGAGTGTAAGTGTTAGAATATAGCCGTGTTCTGAAATTCAAATTTCGAAAAGAATAAAACAGAATAGAATAGAAAATAAAAGAACAGAATAGAAAAGAATCTAATAGAATAAAAAAGAATAAAACAGAAAAAATACAGATGTGTTCGAAATTCAAAAAGAATAGAATATAACTAAATAGAAAGAATATAGCCATTTATAGCATTAATAGGTAACATTAACACATATAGCCTAACATTTATAGGTAAAGTTGATCCAGGGAATATTAGATTGCCTCTCAGGGGATCAGGAAGGATTTTTTTCCCCTGCAGGAGCAAATTGGATCATGCTTTGCTGGGGGTTTGTTTTTCCTTCCTCTGGATCAATTGTGGGTATAGGATTATAACTTTTTTTTTTTTTGGTTGAACTGGATGGACTTTTGTCTTTTTTCAGCCAGACTAACTATGTAACTACGTAGCCATCTTCTGAAATTCGAATTTTGAAAAGAATACAATAATCTAGAATAGAAAATAAATGAATAGAATAGAAAAGAATCAAATAGAATGGAAAAGAATAATAAAAAAAAGAAAAGAGTAGAATAAAATAAAATAGAAAGAATATACCCGTCTTCCAAGAATTCAAATTTCGAATATAATCAGCAATTTTTCGCAATTAATTCAGATCAATGAAATATTTTCGATTTGAATTTGAATTAAATACTTTGAATCCATTGGAAGAAAATTGAATCCAGTCAAAATCGAACAAAACCCAACTAAACTAAATTAATCTTGTTACAAATGAAACCAAATGAAATTAATAACTTAACAAATTAATGCGAAACTAAACAAAACAAATGCTTCTGTTCTGCACGTCTAAATTCCATAACTGAAGACTTTACACATGGATTTGATGGAGAGGTCTAACAGAGTGGCAATGCAACATTGTAATATAAAGCATGAACCTAGTGCTAGCTATTTGCAGCTCATGCATGAGTCCCTTATTGTGATCAGAATCCAGGAGTCGCCATGCATTATTTTGGCACTAGGAGAGATGTTCTGATAACTACCATTCCAAAACTGCACTGCAAACCCAGAAACTGCACTGCAATTTGTTTATAGTTCCAGTTTAGGACATGAGTTGTCCAAGTCAAATATCTCTCCAAAGGACCCGACCAGATTTGTGAAATACAATGTTTTTTTATAATTCAAACAAAATGCACTATGAATAGGTATTTAACTTTCTATTTTTTTAGAGAGAGACTTTGACATAGATTTTATTTGTTGATGCTCCTTAATGTTCATGAGCCAGACTGAGGGGTTTAAGGATAAGCTTTGTACACAGCTTTTATATGGAAAAATAACTATTTTGGTCCCATTTATTTCATAAACTGAAGAATTCTATTTACAGCACATACTGTATATTCTGTGTATACAGAAATATTAACTTTAAGACAATATTAACAAAGAAGGGCGAAAATACTTCTGGAGAAAATGTTTGTGAGTCCTTTCAGTACTTTTCATGTATATAAGAGCCTAGGCAAATGATCTCTTAAAGCGGAGGTCCACCTGAAAAAAAACAATCACTGTAGCTGCTGACTTTTAAAATACATCCACTTACCTGTCCCTCGGTCCAGCAGTGTCCTCACCACAGCTGGTTTCACCGGCTGTCTTCTCTCCCCGGAATCTACAGTGTGGGCACCTAGCTGTGACAGCTTACAGCTTTACACCGGGTGCCCACTGGGCATGCACGAGAAATGCTGTGCTTTGTGAATGGCCCCGCAGTCTTCTGGGACCTGTCACGTGTCCCAGAAGACTACGTGGAGGGAGAGGGGCAGAATCGCCTAGGCGATTGCAGCGGAAGTGGGAGCAGGTACCTGTCAAATTTGGGTACCCACTCCCCCAAGGTTCCAATCCTTAATGGAGAGCGGGGTACAAAGGCTTAAAGCAGAACTTCCCCTTTTGGGTGGAGCTCCGCTTTGAAGTAAAAGATTAGGCCAATGATTATGCTTTATGGAAAATAGAGTCACACAGACAGATCAGCAATAACATTATTCTTTTGTTTCATTAATGTGTAAGTTGATTTACTAAAGGCAAATAGACTGTGCACTTTGAAGGTGCAGTTTCACTCATTTTCCCCAAAGCTTAGTGAATGTGATAAAGCTCTGCTGATTTCCATCAACCAATCACGTGCAAGCAAAAATGCTTTTTTTTTTTTTTTATTTTTATAGCACCTGATTGGGTAATCTTTACAAAGTGAGGCTTCGCCACATCGACTAAGATCTGGGGAACATGAGTGTGACTGCACTTGCAGTCTATTTGCCTTTAGTAAATAAATGAGTTGCAAGTAAATATGCTCATTTAATACAACAAGCTATATAGGATGAGTTTTTGCTGCTTCTTTTATTAATTTATGTCATTGTTGTGGTCTTCAGTGACTTCTGATCCAGTATCAGGACAATAGTCACACCTTACGGTGACTGTACCTGTGCTTGGTATGATGAAGTAGTTGCGTCTGTAACACTTTCCGCTCTCTCTAAGGTAGACTCTGTGGTTGCTCCAGTCCCATCTCTTCGCCTGCCATATCATCGGAGGACGAAACGGTACACTCTAACTCCAGGCCTACTCAAATGGGACCACTTCAATTTGACATACAGGTATGAAGCAGTTATGGGTCCATAGAGAAAATGTATTCTGAGGTCAAAATAACATGAAACTTTTGAACCTTCCCTAGCTGTATTCAGGTAAAGTGTATCTAAACCCAAGAACAAGTCTGAAGATATCAACTTAGGCTGGCCATACACTATACAATTTTCTGTCTAATTTCAGCCCAATTTCCTTTAGATTTACCTTCAACTATGTAGTGCAAGGGCCTGCCTAATTGGATACAATTGAAAGTGTTATTTAGGTTTGACCTCTTATTAAATGGTTTTTGGTAAATCTAAAGCAAAATTCTCAAGAAAATTGTATGGCCAGCCTAAGTCTTGGTTTTTTTTTTATCTTGCCTTTATTTTCACCTGGTGATTCTGTCAGTAATGCAGTTCCTGTTGACAAACTCACTAGTTGTTTTATACTAATAGAGGAACAGTCCTGTTATCCTTGAAGAGGACTATAGAACATCTCCTCCTCCTCTGTTTTGTCATAACATAGGCGGAGGGGCTTTGTAGCCCAGAGAGATAACTGGGAACAATGCTAACTGGTAACTGTCAGCAGAGCACTTAGAAAAGGATCAGCTCACAGGATTTCTGGCAGGATCAACAGGTATTTAAAAGTGTGTGATATCTATTTTTTTTTTTTTAAAAAAGCCTTACTGCTGCTTTAAAAAAAATCGACCCTCTAAGTAATGACATGTAAAAAATGGGCTTATTTAATAATATACAATAACTGATAAAAATGTACAGGGGGCAGTAATTCGGGCTAATCAGACAGATTTTAGTTTACTGTGCTGCATGTCTTTGGATATGGCTAAATGCATGTGGTTTCTCACAACTGCCTATTGGAGTGAGAGATCCTGATGAACAACAAGCATTTAACACTCACATTTAGTAGAGCAGTGAATGTTAAGTGCTGACAACCAATCAAAAATCAACATTTATGTGATGAAATTATATTACCGTAAACCCTGGCCTTCTTATATTAAACATGCCAGAATATAATTGTGCACAAGCAGATAATTGCCTGATATAATGCACTGTGTTTAAAATATCCTCCCTGTTGGAAGTATTTGGAGCCTGCTGTACATCTGGGGAGTGATAACATCTGCAGTGATTCACAACAGATGCAACAGGATAATCATAACTTCTAATGTAAATATTCCATGGTGTGGAAATTCCACTTAAGGTGGCGTGTCAGCTTTTTCGTGAATGGCATTAAATGTTCGTTGATGAGTGAATATACACCCCGTCATACTTCATAACCAGGAGATGACAGCGCTCTATTTGTAAAATACTCAGCATTAAAGCAGAACTCTGGGCAAAACTTTATTTTCCCATGCAATGGGGCTGTGCCTGCACTGCATGAGCTAAGTGCTCATTTTGTCCAGGGGCTCAGGGAAAAGCTGTACTTACCCATTCCTCCGATCCTCTGGAAAAATGCGCTCCCCCATGTCCAGAGGTAGACTGTTCCTACTGTCCTCATGTCAGGAGTTGGTCTATGGGTGTAATGACATCAGGAACAGCCCATTCACACGACCACTAGCGTGTGGGGGGGGACAGGAGCCGCAGGGATTGGTCTTGTGCTCGGAGGATTAGAGAAGTATGTCTTTGCTTTCTGAGCCCCTAGACAAAAACGAGCATTTAATCCATGCAGTGTGGGTACAGCTCCATTGCTTGGGAAAATAATCTTCTTTAAAGAATACAGTGGCATTGAGTACTGTAGCTGCCCCTTCATATGTGACTTGAGCTTGGCAATTGGTCCATGGGTCTCTGAGTGCACAACATTGGCTTAGATGGTCTTTTATTCAGTAACATTGCTTTTATTCCTTATAGAATTGTCTCATTCCCAAGAAACTTAATTAATGAAAGTGAAACAAGAAAGGGCATAGTGTCAGCCTTCCGTATGTGGAGTGATGTGACTCCCTTCCACTTCAAAGAAGTCCCTGCAGACCAAGAAAGTGACCTGAAGATTGGTGAGTTACCAATGGAGAGGGCTCAAAATGAGGTTGGTGCCATGAACAAGGGAACACCAGGCCTGTAGTTTTGCAAGTCCTGTTTCAGGGTGTTTGAGAACATACAGATGCTGCACAGTATAATATCTTCGCAATCAGGGCAGAGTGTTGCAGAAGAACAAAAAGATAACCCGAATAGATTTTCTAACTTTATCTCAATTACTGTACATTGGCATTGTAGACAGCCAATGCCACAAAACTGTTTATGTAACTTTGAATTGAACAACGAAGGGTTAGAGCCTTATTATTGCCATCTGTGTTCCTAAAGAGGACTGGACATGATAGGGAATCTCTCCAATAGGGACATTTTTAGTACATTGGCAAAGGGTTAGAACTTCTGACAATTTTTTTTTATTGTTGCTCAATGCCTTCCTGGTCTTGTACAGAATTCACAAGGACAGGGAGTGAGGAAACTTTCCCAAGTGGAGTCACAGACAACATTAAAAACCTTACAAACTGTAACTCTTCTCTAATCTAAAAAAAAAAAAAAAAATGGGTGAAATTACATTTTAACACACGTGTGTTACCAATAGACTCTAAATAGGTTATTTACTCATTTTGGAGAGTGCAAAATCTGGTTCAGTTCTGCATAGAAACCAATCAGCTTCCATGTTTTATTGCCAAACCCTAATTGAACAAACTGAAGTTAGAAGCTAATTAGTAACTTTGCACAGCTGCACCAGTTTCTGAGTACACTAGTTTTAGTAAATCCACTCCTAAGGCTGGCCATACATTATACAATTATCTTCTAATTTTCTGCCCAATTTCCTTTAGATTTACCTTCAACTGTGTAGTACAAGGGCTTGCCTAATTGGATACAACTGAAAGCATTGTTTAGGTTTGTCCTCCTATTATATGGTTTTTGGTAAATCTAAACCAAAAATCTCCAGATAATTGTATAATGTATGGCAAGCCTTAGTGTGTATTCAGATTTCCCAGCAAGTATTCGTGCTCCTTAAGTCTAGGTTCACACCTATGCGTTTTCCATTGCATTTTGCAGAAATGCACAGCAGTCCATTTAACATGATTTCCTATGGAACATATTCACATCTCCGCGTTTTCACCTGGTGCATATTTTGGAAAGGGTCGGGGACTTTTTTAAACTCAAAACGTTGCATTTTTGGTTCTATAGACTGCAATGGAGAGGCTGCAGAAAGGCATGTAGTGCATTTTTTATGCGCTTTTGATACGTTTTGCAGTTTAATCTGCCCAGCAACAAGTTGGAAAAAAATGCAAAACACATCAAAAACGTGGCAAAAACACATGTGCAAAGGTGCAAAATGCAACGCAAAAAGCACTGCAGAAACAGATCAGAGCATAGGTGTGAACCAGGCCTTAGGATTGATCATATAGGATATATTACTACTTCTGGTAGTACTGCTAAGAGAATATATCATAAGGCTGAATACCTTTATTATGGGCAATGATGACTAACCTCTCATGACCATTTCCCTTTTTAGGAGGCAATGTTTGCTCACCAGTTTTCATGTGTCTGCTACCATTGATTTTACAATATTTAGCAAATCCATTTTATATGCCAGTGCCAGCCTGATGTTCACAGCATGTTTATATCCTGGAGACGATAGAACTTACTCAGTCATTTGTTAATAAATATTGCAATTGAACACTAATCACTTTAATCACTAAAATGGAGATTCTCAATTTTACCAATCTGTTTTTGAACCTCAAAAGAACTAAAATGACAACTTTGTATTGTATGTTTTGTTAAAAGGAATTATTCATCAGCAAAATACCTTTTTGATGTGGGCTGCCATGTTAATTCCAGGGCAGTGAAGCACCTGCAAGCAAGCAGCTTCACTGTAAATAAGAAGCCTTGGAAAAAGTATGCAGTTTGTAAGTTAGACAAGGGTAGCTTCCATGAGACATATTATTGACATATGAATAACAAATGACAGTGAAGACAGGACAACAGCTGTGTGGGATATAACACAGTAAGTTTAGTTTTTATGAAGGCAACAGCTTTTCATTACATTTGACAAGTTCTATTTGAGCAAACAAAGCTATACGGAGGCATGACTAAATTACTAAATTAAATAACTCACCAGTAACCCATTTGTTGTTAATATCAAGCTGTCCATTGTCCTTTGCAGTGAGTCTTCTAAAACTGTGATAACAGGTACAATGATTAATGGCTTGCCTTTGGAATTTTGCAAATGAGAACACCTGTGATCCTAAATGATCTTCCCCAAAAATGAACAATTCCAACTAAGTGTATGAAAAGAATGCATAATCAGAGATTACCCTAAAGAAAACTGTGATCAATATATTCTGAAAGACATATTTCTTGAAAATGTGGAGCTTGGCCCTATCCTTTCTCATACTTTTCTTTTGCCAAGTTTAGCAGCTCAATACTAAGGTGACTAATTGAGAGTCGGTAGCTAGAAAGGACACGTTTCAATATATCTGGATCTATTGATTGTTTTGATGTGAACGTTTCACTGAAGGTAACCTCTGCTAGTCAAGTTCTTTTTAAAACATGACTTGTTGGTGGTCCCTAACAAAAGGTGTTGGGAAACTATTCGCCTAGCATAATTATTCAACTTTTTCCTGGGAAATCCTATATAAATCCATAAAGCACTGTACAAGGGAATGGTAGATCTGATTGAGCATCTCAGACAATTCTTGAGTGAGACATTGATAAGGCCTAATTGCTTTCCTTGCTCCAGGTTTCTATGGTATAAATCACACGGACTGCCTGGAGTCAACCATCCACTACTGCTTTGATGGAACAACTGGGGAGTTAGCACATGCCTATTTTCCAAAGACTGGGGAAATTCACTTTGATGACAGCGAATACTGGATTGTGGGGAACACCAGGTTCAGCTGGAAGAAAGGTTTGAGCTCAACCTAGTTGAGAACTTTATCCATTTCCACATAAAGCAAACTTCCCATTTGTTATTTCTCTACCTGGAAGTATCATTTTGATGTTTTTAGAACGAATATGTATTTTTTGAGAGAATGGATATCTTAGCAGAGATGATCAGTACTGGTTATGAAGAAATCAAAAGATTGTTCACAAGTTTGGTCAGCACTTTATGGCTCACCTTAGCCAAACTGTTTTCCCTGGCTTTGTGAAACATCATACGCCCTTCAAATGGAAGCATCCTGATTGTGGGTCTCTAGAAACTACAGACAGGGTTCATAAAAATCAAAATTGAAGAAAGTAATTGGTATCAGACCTCTTACACCACAAATTGAGAGGAAAACTACCTATATAACTTGAAGGTACACAGCAAGGAGGGAACTTTTCACTGCTCCTGCCTATGTGATAGTTATCATTTGATCACTCTGATTTGAAAAAAGATAACAATTTTGGAGACTAGCAACCTTAAATTAACAAAGGAAGAATTCATGAAAAAAAAGATGAGTTTAATAACGCACCTTCGGGTTCTGAGTTAATATGCATGTAAATTTCGTATTAGAACCAAGTGGCAGAGACACTAGTACAGTCACACTCACGTAATATGAAAAGTAGGTCAGATATGCACAGGATGTTTACAAAAGACAGAATAATGCTTTGCTGAAATCATCACCGTTCTTTGTGGTTTTACTTCCTAGAATATTGGTCACCCCCCCCCCCTCCCCCCTATTGTGAAATCTGTATTGCACAAGTGCCACAGATCCAGATGTCATTTTAAGCATTTTTATCCAAAAGTCCGGGATGCTTGCGAGCCCTTTTGGCATTGATTTGCTATGTTTTGCTGAATAGACTGTAAAGGTATATCCAGAAATTTAAGCCACATTGTCAATATGCTCATCTGCGATGCACGTTGATAAAATGGCCAGTTGTATTTAATGTGTAAATATATTTTAATGATGTCCCTCTGATGTTAAAGCAGTTAAATACTGTATAGGCTTACTATTCATGCATTGTATTGATTGGTTTTTCACTCATTACAAGAAGTTTCCCCAAACAGACTGCAATCAAACGTTAGCAGAGGTTCTAACACTTCTTCACTCTAAAACTAGAAAAAAAACATTTTTGGGGCTTGTAGCTGCCTATAGCTATACAGGATATGCCATATGTCTTCAGGGAAGCAGATATTCTGAACATAACTTTCATGGTTATGTTAATGGAAGAAGAGAGGTAGCATGTGGCTGGCACAAGTTATCTTAGGCTGCATTTACACTTGAGTGTTTTGTAGCTTGAAGCTCCAAAAACGCTCAAGCTTAAAAAATCAATTGTTCTCTATGGTGCCTGTTCTCTATGGTGCCTGTATACATACACAGAGAGCAATAACACAGCAAAGAGATAATAGAAAGAAGTTTAGAGAGATAAAGTACTTGCCAAAAGTCCTGGGTTAAGCAGCTTTCAAGTGTCAGAGCAAAAGGGCCTTTATCTCCCAAAGTTGGTTCCTGGTGTTAAAAGGGAGATTTCTTCAATTTCAACTCAGCTTAGCTTTAAACATAACAGCCTTTTTCTAGGAACTCAGCAGGGTGTCTCCTTGAAGCAGAGAACCAATCGCCTCATTTGGGGAGGGTATTGGGCGGCGACCCAAGCTAGAACCAAAATCCCTCACCGTTTATATCATGGTCCATAACCTACCCTTGGTGCATGTAGCCGCCTAGCCACTAGTAGATCAATATGCAGAAGCATCTGCTGAACGTCTAGATATGAAATATGACATACCTGCTTGGGGTGGTTAAGGAGATATTTTCTGCTCTCCTGTACATTCCAGCTAGGGGGTGTAATATATCAGGTGACTTGTATTAAAGTGACCGATCTGAATATATGCCTGGTCACCTTGTAAGTCTTCCATATTCCAAGATATGAAATCATAGGGGAAATGGATTTTGAATGTGATGTTTGTTTTACGGTTTATCTGGAATGTCTTTGAAGCTCAGTGAAGGACTGGTTTATGACTTTACGATCCTTTTCCAAGCAAGAGTCTCACAGACATACAGGGGGGCAGGCTAATTGGGGTTTATAACCATGAGCTTTCCCGCTGGGCCTGGATGCCTTTTGAACTCAGCATCCAGGGACCACATGTTACTCAACAGAGAGGGAGGGGAGATTTGGAGGAGACAGAGAGATACAAGATAGAGGATCCTTAGCAAGATGGAGGACAGCGTCCATCTTTGTATGCACAATTGCTACACACCCCCTTCCCCCTCCTGCGGAGAGAGCTTGACATTGACCAACACCCTTGCCGCCCACCTGGGAGAGCCTTCTACTACCCCCCTACCCCCCGGCAATAGAGAGACACTCATCTTCACAGCTCAGGACATCCCAGGGAACGAGAATCAGGCTCTACATACATCATGAAGCAGCCCACAGCCTCCCTCGGATCCCACCTGATTCCCATGGTGCGCGTGTCCCTTCTTTCATTCCTTATTCTGGGGGGAGGTGCTGCCCCCCCTAAAAAAAATGCCGCCCTAGGCAAGTGCCTTGTTTGCCTTGAGGTAAATACGCTCATGGGTAATGGGACACGTAAGAACAGCTACTTTTCTAGGCAGCACTGTTTTCTTATTTTAGTGTCTCTATGAAAGGGTCGAGGTCGCTTTAACCCCTAATGTTTCCCTGGTTGGCCAGGCTTAATGATTTTTATGCTGTACAATAAAAGAGATGTAGAGTAACTGATATGTCTCTCTAGGAGTGTGGCTAACAGATCTGATACACGTAGCAGCACATGAGATCGGACATTCTCTGGGGCTAATGCACTCTCTGAACAGAGATGCTCTGATGCATATTAATGCCACACTGACTGGGAAGAAGACTATCTCCCAGGATGACATGTGGGGGATCTACAGCCTATATGGTGGGTAGAAATAAAATATTTTCTTTTATACACATGTATACGTATAAAGCAATACATGTGACATTCACCTAACATGCACTGCAGGTGAATGTATTATAAATTAGTGTTTTAACTGTGGTGAATGTCACACTCATTGTGTATGTATATATATATATATATATATATATATATATATATATATATATACATACATATACATACACACACACACACATATATATATATATATATATATACACATACACACACACACACACACACACTCCTAGTTTATAGTTTTGGGATATCAGCAATGTAATTTTATTTTTTGAATAATGCTCTTTATTTTATTCTTGTGATTTAAAGTGTTACTAAACCCACAACAGTAAAATCAGTCTGTATATGCAGTAAAGCATGTTTGTTATACTCACTGTGGAACCTTAGGGGTTAATCCTCCACACTGTTTGAAAAGACTATTTGATCCTGTTTTCTTTGATCCTCCCATTCTTTGGCTGTCCCCAATCCATCTTCTGATAGTACAGAGCTCTTGGAGTCACTCTGCACGTGTTCACTTTGGTGTGTATTGCTAGAGAGTTTTTTTTTTTTCTGTGGGAGGGTGCATGTGATCAGCGCAGGGCCAATCAGCACTGACCAGACAGAGGGTCAGGGGTTATGCAGCCTCACAGGACAGTGAGAGGAGAAAGAAATCTCCTCCTACAAGCTTCAGGGCTCCACTGGACACTGATAGAAGTCACAAGATTGCTATGTACTGGTGATGAGAAAAGGTATTTAGCAGTTTATATTTACTAAAATAATTGCATTTCCATGTTGTGTGTACTGTGGGAGACGAGATATAGTAAATGCAGGGTCCTGGGTTTAGTAACACTTTAACTTTGTATTTCTTTTTCTATTTCATACAGTTTTTTCTTTTACTATTATTCTTCTGTTACCCTTTTCTTTTCGTTCACCAAATATTATTTTTAACATGTTTTTTCAATATTTAACAATCCAACAATCTATATCAGGGATCTCTAAACTTTTCAGTACAAGGGCCACATTGTATGTTTTTCAAATACAATACAGAAGCCGTCAGAGTACAAATTCACTTCAGAAGCCCCCCCATCACAGAGTATAAATTCACATCAAAAGCCTCCATCACATCAGAAGCCCCCCATCATTTTAGAGTCTCCCTTTCATATCAGGACACTGTTTCACATCAGAGTTCTCAGTCCTCTGATCCTGTCTTACAATCCTCACTACAACAGCAGCATGCCACAGGGCAGGAGGCAGAGCAGGTCCTCTTCTGCATGCTGCCACCCTGAATCAGCATCATGTGCTTCCTAGTATGGTCAAGCCAGATGCCAGCCCCACATTGACGAATGATGCTGGGTGTCCTGGCCGATCAATGCCATTGGTTGTTAAGGTGCTTGCACCTGGACCGCCTGCACAATGGAAACACATAATGCAAAAATTATATAGATTGCGGTGTGCCAGTTAAAAATCTTGTAGTGGACTGGATGTGACCCTCTGGCTGTAGTTTGGAGACGCCTGGTCCATAAGCATACTAATACCTGAACTCAAGTTGGATACAAGAGACTACCATTTAATTCAGTTATGTATTTATTTTAAACTTCATAAAGCTAGAATAAGTATTAGAATCTGTCTTTATATGTGCTTCCTGCAAACCACAACACAAGACCTCTTGGTAGAGGGAAGGGGCCAGCAATATGGATCAGTCATATTCCAATGCATTGCCCAGTGTTCAGTCTACTGGGGGCTGACAAACAGCTACCACAGTAATACCACTACACTGCATTGATGACATTAAGTGACTCAAGAAAACATAATATACATGCTAACCATATATTTTTACATTGTTAAAATTCTGCAAGTGTTGTTGTGGGACAGATAACCTTGAATATGTTATTACAATCATTTAACACATTCCTCCTCCTATTGCAGGGTGCAGGGACAGATATCTGGTATGTGCCAGCTGGGCACAGAAAGGGTTTTGTGACTCCAGAAGGAAACCTATGAAGAAGTATTGTCCATACAGCTGTGATTTCTGTTATGGTAACCATTTTTGTTATGTGGATACACTGATATATTAAAAAGGGAGAAAGTGTTTTCTGTGGCCAGCATAAAAAATTCATCCAGCAGAAACATTGTTAACCACTTGCCTACCGGGCACTTATACCCCTTTCCTGCCCAGGCCAATTTTCACCTTTCAGCGCTGTCACACTTTGCATGACAACTGCGCGGTCATGCAACACTATACCCATATGAAAATGTTATAATTTTTTTCAAACAAATAGAGCTTTCTTTTGATGGTATTTAATTGCCATTGGGGGTTTTATTTTTTTGTGCTATAAACAAAAAAAGAGCAAAGAATTTGAAAAAAAAAGTTTCTTTGTTTCTATTATAAAATTTTGCAAACCGGTAATTTTTCTCCTTCACTGATGTGCATTGATGAGGCTGCACTGACAGGTGGCACTGATATGCAACAATGATGGGCATTGATAGGTGGCACTGATGGGTGGCACTGAGTGGCGGCACTGCTGGGCAGCACTGATGGGTGGGATTGATGGGCACTGGTTGGTGGCACTACTAGGCACTGATAGGTACAGATGAGTGGCACTGATCATCAGTGCCGATCCGCCCTCTATAATTGTCAGTTATTAGCAGTACTTTCCGTACTCTGTGACAGCGTGAGGAAATTGCAGCTGATAACCGGCAACTGCATTTACCAGTGATGTGCTGTGTCATTGGACACAGCTGATCACATGGTAAAAGACAGCTGTGATTGGTCTTTTACCACATCACATGATCAGCTATGTTTGTAGGACACAGCGATTGCCGAGTGCGTGCCCCTGGGGGTGCGTGGAAGGACGTGTTCCGGGAGGACGTCATATGACGCCTTCCCAGGACTGGACAACCGCGCTGTAGCTGTCAGTCGGCTATAGTGCGGTTGCCAAGTGGATAAACAGGATCTACAGTATCTAGATATTGTTGTTTCAAAGTGGTTGTAAAACTCTAACATGAAAATTAACAAAGCATAGTCCTCTATAGTGTGTACTTGCCTCAATCCAAAGCACTGAGTGCCATATCACTCTGCTGTCTAGTTCATTTATTATCTGCATGAGTCACTGCAGAAAGGTTTTCCCGACTCTAAGAGATAGAGGGGGATGGGGTAGGGGCCCCCCAGCACACAGTCTGGTAATGAAACCTTCAGCTCAGCATGCTTCCTGGGTGCTGTGTGGAGCGAGGTGTATCCCTTCCCTCCAATCAGCTCTCAGATTAAACAGAGCCCTCCTCTCTTAGCTGTGCAGTGTGTGACTTCAACTCCCAGGCACCTGCTTTCTGAAGTGCAGACAAGCAGTATGAATTCTGCACTTTGAACTGATGTAGAGAAGGTAGGCCTAGAGACAGGGCTGGTGCTTCCACTAGGCAAACTAGGCAGCTGCCTAGGGCGCACTGCCACCTAAGGGCGCAGCACAGGTTGGCATTCTCTCTGTGTGGACTATAGACCTCTTGTATGAATTCTTCATTTCTCTGCAGAGTCCCCCTCGCCTCATACACAGAGAATGATGAGGGAATGAAGGTATTTTTACTCTGCACAACTGTCTCACAGCCTGTCCACACATATGACCATATATACACACACACATACATGACAGTATTCCATGTAGCAATGAAGTGTCAGCTCCCCCTAGGATGGGAAGTGATGACATTAAACCAGGTCCCCGGGCGGTCAGCAGTCTCTGATCGGAGGATCGGTCCATACATCTCTGGTACACACACCGGGACACACAACCCACCAGCTGTAACAGGGAACTGGCTAGTGACCAAATGGGATGTGCCCAGCACTGGCTCTGCCTTCTTCTACACAGCTGGAGCCAATCAATAGGTGGGTGTGCTCTAGTTGCAGGGTTAACCCTATGTGTGTAGGACGTAGGGGCCCAATGTGTATGAGAGGGAAGCGGTGTAGTGCTGGGAGGCCGCCTGTCCTCAAAGACCACAGCCTGGACTCCACACACCCCTGCAGGAGGCTTCAGATGTGAGCCATGCCTTGGAGGATGGCAGGTCATGGAGGTGACAGGAGGAGGAGAGGGGCGGACGATGGTCAGGGTGAGGGAACGGATGCCGATTGATCTATGGGATGCCACGACGTCATGAATGATCCTTCAGCCAAGGGGCAGCAGAGGGGGAGAGAGGAAGAAAGGACAGAGGAAGATGCTGGGTGTTTGGGGCCAGTGTAGCTACAGCTCCTTCCAGTGTTTCTCTCAGACTCAGTCCTCTACTGCAAGCCAGCTGGCAGCTGCTGATCATTGTGGAGTTTTGTAACTCTTTTTTTTTTTTGTTTGTTTCTCTGTCTGACTGGTTAATACAGTTAATTTATATTTGGTTAATATATATTTTGTCTTTAAGTCTTTAAGATTGGTGCTAGTGGCATCTTATGGCACTTATTTCTGCAAATTAAAAGACATTTAGCAGTTTCATGTTTTGCCGATTTAATAATTTAAATTCAAGTAGCTGGTCTTGCCTAGGGTACAAAGTAGTCTAGCTACAGATAAACTAGTACAACTTATGTAGGATGATTTGTTTCTCCTCTGTGTATTACCTGAAGATAGTCACTTCACTTGGTATATGTAAAGGTTTACAACCACTTAAAATTGTATATTTGACATTAGAATGGATTTAGATAAGAGTCTCCTTAGAGTGAAACTTCACTCCTGTTGAAGAAAAACAATCCCATCAAAATGAGTTGCAAAAATTGCAAAGTGTATTTTTAGAAAACCTGAGACAGGCCTTTCTCAAACTTCTACAAACTAAAGGATGTTGGTGTGCTAAGTGAGAAGGCCTGTCTGTTAAAGCGGTAAGTAAATAAAATTAGATTTGTGGAGGCATTCTGCATGCAGTGTACAACAGGCCCCCAGTCTTGCTATATCTACAAGCAGATTGTTTTTTTTGACAGCTCAGACGAACATAACTTATTGCAGAC